TATTTAAATAGTTTATATAAATTAAATTTTATATTTAATTTATATTTAATATTTTATAATTTAGTATTTTAGTTTGCAATACTTATTTTCTTTTCGCCTTCCTTACATCAGCATCACGATTTTCGCCACCTACTCTCAGAACAACAAAGAAGAACATTAGCTATTTTATTGAACTTCAACATTGTACAAATAGTTTTTTGTACAAAACTTTTATCATTCAACTAATAATAATCGTTGCTGCTGGTAGAAAAGAATTGGATATTGTTTTGTGAAGCTGTTAGTAGGGGCTAATTAGCACCACAAGGAGGAGATGTGTAGCATGAGAGTGAGTTCCCAAAAAATTTCACCACCAAGCTTGGATATTTGTGGGATATTTTTGCTAATATCTCAGATATCTTACTAATATCTCGTATATTTTACTAAAATTTCTTGAATTTTCAATACCTAAATTTATATGATAATATCACATGTATTTACTAAATTCTCACGTATTTTACTAATATCGCGTGCGTTTTGTTGATATCTATTTTTGCGAGATCTCAGACATCTCTCAGAAAAACTTAAATTACTGAGAGGATCTCAAAAAATACAAAAAATCATTCTCTATGATGAAATTGACTTTTTGAGATTGTACTGCAAGACCGAAGGTTCGAACTATATTTTTCTGAATCAGCATTGAAAATTGATTTAGAAAAAGGTTTTCAATTCATTTTAGAGGTACCTCTAGAGTAGTCTCAAGAGGACGTTGTCTTTGTATTTTTGAGGTTCTCTCAGTAATCTAAGTTTTTTCCATGAAGAAATGGCTTTTAAAGGCTTGGAAGATGTTATTCGTGATCAGCTCGTTGAGCTGAATCCGAATATGTATAATAAAGCCAAAAATAAATTTCACTGTAAGTTTGCACTAGCTGCACTTTATAATAAGATGATGTCTATTTCCTTACGTTCCATCTTGAATATTTGAAAATTTTTCAATAGATCTTCCGAATACAGCTAAACTTCGCTTTGATTTTCGTCGTTTAAATGTTCCTTCTCGTTTTTCATATTTAAGTTGAATTTTTAATTTTAAATCACCGTTTGGCGAGTCGATTGATAATTGACCACCACCATTTCGCTCACTCTCACGTATAGCTGATTCAATCTAAATTAGATACAGAGATGGATAATTGTAATGAAAGTCATAGTGGAGTCATAGTCATAGTGGAATAGGCGTACATTTCTATGAAATTTTCCAATACATTGTGGTCGTTGTAGACTACCACTATTCGATGTAGCAGATGAATCCATACGATAAACAAGTAAACGAAATGCTAGTGAATATTCTAATTCGACACCAAATTTCTAAATAAAAAATAGTGATTGAAATAGTTGAAAAAAAAAACGATACGTAGTCGATAAGTAGAAAAGAAATACATCCGTCACTCGTCAACAAATCTCGAGCTAAGAAAATCGGTAATATAGAAACGTACAATTATTTTCTTTTCACTGTCGTTCATCGTATTTTATTGTTCTCTCTCTCTTTAATCATGATAGCTAGATCAAAGATGAAAAACTAATTTAAATAGCTGAAAGAATGTTTAATCGAATGAGATGTATATGAAAAATATATTAAAATTCGTGCAAATCACATCTTTAGAAAACTCTCAATGGCAAAATCAAAATGAAAACTTTTTTGTGAATAAGTTTAGAATAAACATTACTGAAAAAACCTAGACGTTACTGAGTTCGTCATGACACTTTTTCGTCGAACTGTATCCAATTTATGAAACGCCTTTTCATGTCCAAAAAAGAAAAAACAACAAAAATGACAATGAAAATGATCGAAGAAACCTTTTGTAAAGTAGATACAGTTCGACAAAAAAATATCGTAATGAACTCAGCGACGTCTAGTTTTGTTCAGTAACGTTTGTTCTAAAGCTATTTACAAAAAAGCTTCCATCTGAATCTTTTTTACAGTTTTCTAGAGATGTGGTTTGCATGAATTTTAATATGCATCTCATTTTTTCAGCTATTTAAATGAATTTTTTATCTCTGATCTAGCTATCATGCATGATTAAAGAGAGAACAACAAAATACAAAATCGCTTAAATATTAAATATTAGCAACCATTCAACTTGGAAATCAATAGTTTTCACTAAAATTTATTAAACTATTTTTATTTTTAACTGTTATCAATTTATATTTCAATTTTTCTTTTGAACTTCGATCATTGTGAAGTTACACACAATAATTCTAAACTTACTTCTCCTTTAAATTCAACATAATCTCCTTGTTGATTTGAATATGTAATTTGTTTTGGTTTTGTTTGGGCATACGGATAAAATGTATTATAAGAATCAATTTCAACTGCTACATAGAGTTGATAATGTTTTTGTTGTTGATCTTGTTTCGATGGTGGCAATGTTTGATGTTGAGATCGTGCATCCAAATTTTGAATTTGTCTCGTTAATGCTTGTCCTTGAACACTTAGAATTGTTATAGTTAATGTTCCACTATATGTTTTAGCTGTTTGTGAATGATTTGATTGTAATGTTTGTTTCACTTCACCATCCTTTAATTAAAAAAAGAATAAGAGAAAAAAGTGTAAAATATTCTAAAATACTTGAATTTATTGAATAATTCTACCTGTGAATATGGTTTAATAATATCGACTCTTTTCTGAATAGTAGAATCTGATAAGGGATGTTTTGATGATGTTGACTGATGAGGTGAACGTTGAAGTAATTCATTTTTTGCTTTATCAATTGTATCAATCCATTCTTGACGTTGATATGCGGATGAAAATAGAATATATCGATCGTTCGATGAATGATTTAATGATGTCTGTAAATCGGTATGTTTAGAACTTGTACGAGATGTTAACAATGATTGTGATTGAGGCGGATGAGAGCTTAGTAATAATTTTAATTTGGACTGTGATAAATTATATTCGTTTTCAAGTTTACGAGTATTTTTTGTTAAACGAGATGTCTAAAATAGAAAAACAAAGTAAGACCATAATGTAGGTAAATATTGACAACAAGATATTCATTTCTTCATTGTCTAACAGTAGCAAAATTCATCAAGTTAAAAAATTGAGTATATTCTCATAAACATGACAATTCAAATTTTAGCCATTTATATTCTTTTTTCTTCGAAGGTTTCCTCTCGAAAAAATTCACTCATTTCTGCCTATTCAATATTTTCATACTTTTTCATCCAAAATCATCTTTAAAAACCTAAAACCTCAGTTTTTTCCAAGTAACTTAATGAGCTCTACTCAATCATGACAAAAAAGACGAAAAAATATCTTGCTACTGTTTTGAATTTCCGGTATCTTACTTTTCAGGATCTGACTCAAGTAACTGCATGATGCTATGAACTTTGAAAGTGCATTTAATAGTAATAATAATCGACTCCTACTCATAACAATATCGTTCTTAAATATTTATGATAGGAAAGTTATCGAATTTTTGTACTGTTCTAAGTTTCTCTTAGAGTTTAGAAATCTTTGTTATTTATAGAAAAGTTTTCTTTTTTACTATCTTATTCAAACCTGGGAAATCTGACGAGAATTAGCCCTAATAACTATGAGATTTTCTCCTTCTGCATAGCATTTGATAAAAAAGCGTTTTTATAGTTCCAACCATAGCTGCCAGATGATCCGCATTTTGCGGACAAATTCCGCTTTCTATAGCTTTTTCCGCAAAGTGTCCGTTTTCAAGGATTTTTTGTTTTTATCCTGTTTTCTGCAATGAAAATTTTCACATTTTCTCATAAAAAATTTACCGACTAAATAACCTGTCAAAACAATGCTTTTGTAACTTTTATAAGACAGATGTGCACTATTTTAAGAATCAAATCAGAAATTTGCCCGGGGGTGAGCGCTAAAAGAAAAACATTAGCTTGTCTTAAGTGCTACTAAAAGGGAGTGTGAAAAATAGTGAAATACTAAATCTTCAAGGAAGGAAATGTTGTCGTAGGCAGGAAAGTTTCGAATTAAATTTTATCCTGCCATACATAACTCTTGAAATTTATGATGGCTGATAAAAACGCGCATTCAGAAAAAGCCAATATCGATTCAAATTGGGATTTAAATGTGTTGTTTTTTTGTACTTCTTTTGTGTTTCTTAAGTGGAACCATCATAAAGCGCTAGAAAAATATTTTTTGATACCCTTTGTATTTGGTGAAAAATGCGTTACCACTTTTTCGACTTTTTATTCTGCTTGTCTGACCTAAGGAGCTGGTAACTCTGGTCTCAACAAATATTTTCTTCATCTATTTGTCACAATAAAAAGCATAAGATGTCCATTTTAAAGCTAGTTAACAACCTGACTATTAAAAGGTCCAAAATGTGATTTGGACCATTTGTTGTATATTTTAAGTTTTTTCTGAAGAATTGTAAAATATACGAGAAGAAAAAGATTTTATAAATAAATAATGATCATTTCACATCCCTATTATATACATACATTGGATTCTGGATTGATCTTTTCTAATTCTCGATACGATGATTGTAATTTTGATTTAACTACATTATCTAAAATATGTAAAAGAATTTATTTAAAAAATAATTCTCTCATATTTTTTTATCATTTGAATTTTTATAATTATTTAATTCAATGTTTTGTATATGAATGAATCCATGTGAAGCCTACCATCATTACACCGACCTTCACCCGCGTGTATCCATAATTAGCATATGTTATAAAGCTTTAAGATGTTGATAAGATCGAAGAAAGACTTTTTTTTCTAGTATGAAAGTTAATATCATATTCGAATTTAGCATAAAAGAAAAGTTACCCATATGAACAGTTTTTACCAAATTTTATTGAACTGTAAAATCTAAAATACAAATATCTGAAAAATCAAACAATCTTTTATAGTCTTTTTCTCGAGATTTATTCATCAACTAAACTTCACTTGTAGATTTCTTTCAAATAAAAGAAAAAACAAACAATTTTTTTATAAAGTTTTATGAGACAGCAAAAGTGTTGAAAGTTTAGTACCTTTTTACTATAAAAATAAAATAAAGGTATCTCAATTCTCATACCGGTCAGAAATCATCTGTAATTTTCATCAAAATTCATCGTTTTTAATGTTTTATAACATATACGAGATGTGGACAACTGACGATGAATGTCGGTATAATGATAGTAACCGTTTCCATAAAGATTCATTCATATGAATTGATGTTTCACTGATAATCGTGAAAAATATTTAACAAAGAATAATTCTTTTCTTTTTTTATAATTAAACATACAGAGAAAATAAATGTTACTTACCACC